GTAGAAGAAGGGTTTAGGAGGAAGCAATTTTTGAGGAAACAAAGAGATAAGAGAGAACATACACCTAAGGGGAGGCATTGGGCCAAAAGAAGACAGGTGGAAATTGTGGATTTGCAGGAGAAACTGACAGTAATGAAAGTAATTCATCTACTGGAGTTGCTAATTTAGAGGCAAGATGGAGAGCAGTGGAAGTGACAAAGTACATGAAGATGAGTCCTTTTATGACCCTCCTAAACTGCCGTCATTATCAAGTGCCTCAATCGGGACAAGGCATTTTCTGATGTACACACACAATGTGTTCTGTCTTAATAGCTGTATCCAGCTGCAGTGTCTCGTCTCCAGGATACCACTCTGAGCAAACAGAGAGCAGCAGAGAGAGTGCGGCTCCTTATACAGGTTATCCCATCCAACCCCATCTTTCCCCTAGGTGAGACAGTTCTCACTGTACATTATAGTTTTACAGAAGGCCAGGGCAACCTTTGGTGGATCCCTGAGCTATTTAATAGTAACTGAGCAGCCTATAATAGTCTTCACCTTCAAATAATGATCCTTGTCACTAGAAACGTGCACCAATGAGTACTCCCATATGCACGCACATTTCTATTACCTTGTTTACGCTGTTAATGAACTCATGTTGCTTGTGACACTGTCTATATCCAGTAGTACATTGCATTGAGGAACCCTTCTGTTGTAACATCTGATGCGTCCACAAAGCAAGTGGTGATCTAAGACCATGCCAAATATAAGGGCTGCAACTTGTATCAAGACTCTTTAAGTCTAAAGCAAAGGTTTTTGCCTGGTAGTTCACAGTGAACAGCAGGGGAAACTCAGCGGAGGTTGTGAAGCCACTAACTGACAGTTTCTAATATAATTATATCTCCTCCATATACTGGCAATGCAACTGCAGCGATTCGACTGTTTCTAACGGCTGCTGTCTCTTCAACATTTGTGAACTGCAGTGCAGTTTTTCGAGTAGTGTGTGTAGAAGAGCATGCAGTATTCTAATCAGTGAAGTCCATTGCCCTAAGTTTGTTGTGATACTATTTTTATGCATAGGATCTGGGACATTCTACACGAATCTTGTGTGTCATATTCATCGTATGCTTCGAGAGAGAGAGAAAGTCTATCAGGATGATGACTGGGTCCTCAAAGAAGCCATGGACATGCACAACTTGCAGACAGGAGGAACTTTCATGAATGCTCTCACCAGAAAATTAGACGACATTATTACTCCACGTCTAGCAGAGATTATTGCCTTTGTGGACAGGGGTTGTAATCTGAGTCTACTGCAGCCTACAAACAGTCCTCTTTCTCAGTTCTGGCTTATGGTATTTGCTTGTAAGAGGGCAGAAGAAGCACTAAAGTACACTGACATGGTTGGGGGTCAAAAAGTTAATGTGAATCCTGATAACACTAATTGTGCGTTTCCCTTTTCCTGGCTGGTGAGGGAGCTAGTGGATTCTCATTGGGACAGTGCACAGAGCACTGGAGGTATGTGTATTTTCAGTGGAAATACATATGTGTAGCATGTGATATGTTGCAGGTTCCCATAAACAGCTAATGCACAAGCAGTTGTGTTCATTAGTGGCAGACAGTCCTTTGGGAGAGGTTCTGCAGAGTATCCAGGATGAAGAGCAATGTGAAGAGCTCTACCAAAGATATGTTCATGACTTTGTGCGCAGTGTGCATAACTGTACTCACAAAAACGAAAGAGATAGTCAAATGTGAATACCAGGTATGTTAAATTCATCTATTGAACTTTGTCATATTATTTTCTGCTGAACAACAGTTGATCCAAGGCAGTCTGCACAGCCTAATTATAAGGAGCCCAGACTTTGGCATAGTGGGCGGAGGTGTGTCGCTGATTGGTCGGATTGCAGCAGTACATGTGGTGTACAGAGAATGTTGTGAATGTATCTACTGGTTTGGACAGCTCACATCCCACAGTCCCGGTGTTCTAGAAGGTCTGGTTCAATCAGTTGGAGAGACAACTGGCATCGATAACTGTATGGTAAGAGCTACACCTCATTCATCTGAACTAGAAGTAGCTATTGAGTGTTTCTCTAGTGACGGTGTGAGGGTTACGTGTGATCCTCTTTAGGAATTTTACAAATGACAATTATGTTAGTATAGAGATACATGACCGTGTTTTTGTGGGCTAAAGGTCTACTGCGATTTTGGTAGCTAATTACGATTATGATCATTTTGTCATTCATACATTTTGTCAGTCATCACAATGGTTGATTCACCCACCAACTTGTCTTTTGAAAGTACCACTGTGTTTGATCATTCAAACCCTCAGCGCTCATGCGCCAGGGGGTTGTGGTACTTGGTTCATAAGTCAGTCAGTCAGTCTGTCTGTGTGTCTGTCTGTCTGCCTGTCTGTCTGTCCGCTCTGCTAATCTCGCATCTCGCGCTATGACACGTGCAACAAAGGGCACTAGATTATGAAGTATGATGAGGAAAACAAATAAAAGAGCAGTTTTCTCTTTTAGAACGCTTTTTGTTTACCGCGGCCAGGTCCGCTATTTTGTTTCTTATCAAGACTGACACATGCATGCGTTTTGTGATACTATGCATATGAGGATGCAGCTTTTGGCTAACGCAAATGTGCTACCATCTAATGCTGCGAGTTCGATTCCGCAACTTTTCTATGCCATTTTTTCCTACCATATTCCCAAGTGTTGGTTAAAAGCAAGTATTTTTGCTTTTTGAGACACTGCAGGAACATGGTTCTGCGCCGAGGGTTTGCACTTTAGTGCTTCCATATTGTAGGTGCTACACCTATATGCGTTGGAGAAGGTTCTTAATGGACTTGAGCCCCCAATCAAGGCAAAAAGGTTGTCGCAGTATTCCGATGACAAGTCTCTTAGAGTGTGGCTCAGCTATGTCAGGGAAGTTAGCAATGCCATTGAGTCCACACTCAGTCTGTCCAGTCAACACCCTCTTGCACTTAAAGCAAGGTAAGGTATTTTTCATGCTCCATGTCAACATACTCTATGTATCTTTTGCCCTGTAGCCTTCAATGGCAGAAGATCAGAGCCATTCAGATATTTAGTGAAAATGTTCTTTTAAACCATTCAAACATGGTGGTCTATGCCAGACAGCTCTACTTGGTAATAACGTGTGAAACGTACAATGTATTACCATGATGCTGCTTTTATTGCCATCTGTTAGGCTTTGCGCAGTGAAAGTGATTTCTTAGTCTGCTCAACTGTAGTAAAAGTGAAAAGAGTACTAAACATCATGCAAGGAAACTTGAAAACTAAATTAAAGTGAGTTGCATCTATCACCTTTAGTGGTTTTAAGTACCCTGTATCGGATGCAGGAGTAAAGAGGAGAAGAAACTACTGGCTAACGTTAGGAAGAGTTGTACAAACTTTTTCATCGAGGTGGTGTCTACTTTGTGCTTTGGACAATCCAGTGCTCCTGAAGATAAACTTATTATTATGCTTCTGGACATTGTCTTCACAGAGCAAATGGTAGTAGATGAGGGTGAGGAAGGAGGGAAAGGGAAACGAGGAACCAGAAATCTTACTCCGTTCAAGGATGAAAGTGGAGATAAACAGCCAATTATCCGATCATTCCTTCTCCAACTACTCCTGGAACACGAGTATGTACTAAAAATAGTATGAGCATCATGGTTAACTTTGCCTTGTTCCAAGGGTGTGGAAGTGACGATTATCACATTCATTACAATTTTTTCCTGCAGCACTGAAAACGTTAAAAACCATTTGAAGTCCTTCTTTAACAGATGTCAGCAGGCCCTGGTTAGAGGCACGGGAGTGGACCAAGAACTGAGCCTACTCTGTACCCAGTGCTTTGAGGTACACTAAAATAAATTAAAATTAATATGATTGACTCTGAGAAACCAACCCTTATCGCTCACATTCAAGTAGCAGCACGTGCCTGATTCCCGGGAGTGGTAATTGTGGAATGGAAAGGAGTGAAGTTTCAGGTTTTTGCAGACTCAACCTCTATCTAACAACTAAAGCCTGCAAAAATATGAGGCTCAAAGTCCTTTCCATTCTACTCTTATGGCCCCAGGTATCAGGCATGTACTGCTGCTCGAACTTGCATGACGAGGGTTGTTTTCTCAGAGCCTGTCACCTGAATATTATAATCAGTGCATGTGTATGCACCAGTACCATACTTTCTTTAGTGTGTATGTCTTTTGTCTGTTCGTCTGTCTGTCTGTCCTCACTACTGAATCTCACATCTTGCAGTATGACACTCTCAACAAGTACAATAAGGCAAAACTCTTTTCTCTGGAATCGCTTACCTAATAAGTTAGAAGATTTTTACTATGGTCGGTCCATCACCAAATGATACACATGTGTATCATTTGTTTTCGTAGTTACTAACCCTTTGGATGCCATGGGTACCTTCTTAAATAAGCACAATTTTACGTATAAGTATTAGCACCTAGTATTATAACCCCCTTATAAATTCTTATGGACTTATGGAGGTTATGTGTCCGTGGCTGATTAAGTGTGAAACTGTGGGCATGGGCTTTCACTGACATGCGCATACAGGATTGGTAAGGAAAATGACCTCTCTGTTCCACATTCTACTATACTTTGGCCTGGTGTGGTAAACACTTTGTAGTGCAATACAGATATTGCCAGTTCGATTCTTGCTCTACTTCATGTGTGTTCTGTATGAATATTGGACCTGTACAAGCTATTGGTGCTTCATGCTAAAAGTATCGCTTCAGTAATTTTGCTGCAGGAACATGGTTCTTCCTGAGGGTTTGCACTTGCAGTGCTGATCATTGCTTTGGCGACTTAGATTGACCATTGATACTTTAACTCAGGCTTTTTGATTGAGTAAGGCTTACATACAGTAGTGGGTCTGAGGGGTTTATAGTCTGTCTATATACCTGGTCTTAGCAGATGCACAGTGACCCCAATCATGTACATCTGCCAGTGAAAGTGCTTAAAGATGCATCTATGAACACAACCGCTTCGCAAAACACCCAGCAAACTCACTTATTTTGCATCAAAACCCTGAAATTCCTGGGAACAGACGATGCCTACACTGCATTTGGACCTACCATCTGGCAGTTATCAGGAAGATGACCGCAATAAATTGCTCATCAACCCATGTATAATGTAAAACATTTGTAGGGGTGGGCTAAACATAGTAATTTAGAAGCCTTCTGGGTTGCTAACACTGGTCTTCATCTCACGTTTTAAGCACTCTGCTTCTTTGGTACACATGATGAGTTAAACACATGTACCGGAAGTTTCAACATCGTTTACTGGTGGACTATGCAATCTCATTTGTGACTGCACACCTATGATATTGCTCGACAGTAGCTGCAGAACCAATTTTACACTGTCCAAATATTAGGCACTGTTTTGAGTGTTTTCTGAATAAAGGACTAATCATTTTACTGTGTTCATTGGCATACAGAATGCTACTTACAAAGACTTCTGCTGTCTCTCCTTGGAGAATAAGATTAAGGCCATTTTGGAGAAAAATTTATTGACATCAGCGACAGACACTTTGGCCCATTCAGCTGGTCTCACAGAGCACACCATTTCATTGGAGGCGTTGGAAAGTGTGGCTAAAATGCGCTGTTGTCTCCTTGTGGTTGCAGAACTCTTGCAACTACGAGTTAATCAGCAGGGTCATTCACAATTTTTGTATGGCCGTATGGTGCAACAATTATTGGAGGAAACTAGGTATACTTTCTGTTATGTTTACACTATACCTTCATGTGATAATTATCTGAGCAGGCTGGCATGTACTGAAAGCAAAGTCAACACCATTGATACTACTGGGATGTTTGACACAACTGGCCCTATAGTATACTTACTGAAGCTACTAGTATACCAGGGAGGCTTTTCATGCGTAAAAAAGATTACAAAGGACCAGCAATGGATGATCCCCAAAGAATTTGAACAAGATAGGGTATGTTAAAAACACAACTAGTACAGTGATTTCACGTGTGCTTGTGTTTGTTGTTTTTCATAGGAGCAAAATACTCTGGATCCATTCGTGATGTACAACCCAATCTATGGTGTTATCAGAGAAGAGATGAGTGCTGCAGCTTTTGGCAGAGACTATAAAGAGCTGGAGGAACATGCTACAGTACGGTCCTGTATAGTATATCTTAGGTGCATCATGGATTTGTCATAACCTCCATACAGGCCTTGCACCCTCAGGAGTGTGTGCCTTTATTACTGAGTGTGTATGAAGTGTATACCATGAGCAGGGCTTCCACAAACATTGCTATGCAATTACTACCAGAGGTGATATTCAACAGTTTGGCATGCGGTGTATTTTATACCTTCTATTCTTTAGACGACTGAGAAAATAAATGAAATTATCCTGAACTGCAAAGCCCTTTCCAGAGATGTGTGTAATCAGTTGCTAAAAAGGATAAAATATAATCATTATGATACTGTAGATGAAAGTGGTGGCTAGAAAGTTGGTTTCTAATGCTCAAGGGGGTCCTCTTGCAGCCCTGCAAGTCACTGCTAATCAGCCCATGTTCCAGCAGACACTGGGAGCACTAGTAGTGCATGCAGTGGCAGTGCTCATCAGTAGGAGCAGTCTTGACCTTCTCTGCCCTTTTGTAACCCTCTTTAAGCCCCTGGGAGTATGGCGGTGAGTTTCTCAATGGGAGTCATGTTCATGAAAACAGTGTTTTTGCTCTGTTTTTAGAATTGCTACTTGCCCACAATGGCAGAGGATATGCTTCCAGAGGCAAGAAGAATCATTACTGGAGGACAATTTTATGGTCTGAGTTTTAGGCACATTTTAATGCGTGTTTCATTTATCCTTGTTTATCTGCTCAGAATGTCCAAATGGCCATCCATACTTTGTTGGAGAGGTCAGTAAGAAAAATAGTTTTCACTTCTTTAACAAGTATCTCTATTGCAGTGTGGCCGGCCATTTCAGCAGGCAAACTGTATGACTTGTGGTTCAGTTATAGGAGGGACAAACCATACATCTGCTGCCAACAACAGAACAGCAAGAATGTATGTCATTGTCAGTGCTCTTTTGCTTATACTCACTGTTTCTCACTGCTCTTCTAAAGAACTGATGCCACTGAAAGTGGCCATTGTCTAGGCCATCCCACAACACGTAGCAACGTCCCATCACCAGAGCGTTCGCTCTCTCCTGTTGCCTGCTGCATTATTAGAGCTATAATGCACAGTGCTCTGGTGTGGGTCAGCTGCAATGACGACAGTGCCACTGGAGGACTGGTGGAACTTGTCAAGTCAGGTCTGGCCAGTCCACAGGAGCTCCCTGAGTTCTTCTGGGGTCACCTGGAGAGAGATCTGCAGCTCCTGGCCACGGCTCTCGGGAGGAACCACGAGGATGCTGCCATTGTGGTTCATCTTGTTCTGATGAACATAGTCAACATCACACCTCCCAGTTCTACTATTCTTCTGAGGACTCTTGGAAAAAGAGATGTCCGCAGTCAGTGGGAAAACCATTTCAATGGGCTGTACATCAACCCTGTTCTTGAGGTCACTTACCCTTACGTATAATACACCTTTTTCATCTGATAACATTTGTTTTTTAGAAGTTGGAATCTGAGCTGGCCTATGCAATGGCCACTATTCTAAATGATGACAAACAAGGTAATCCCAGTTCTTTTATCAAATGTACTAATTTCTATGACTTCAAAAATGTATTTAAAAAATGTCCACTCTCTCATTCTTACTAGGGATATGTATACTTTCATAGTTGAATAAAAAAACACTCTAGGATTTGCTGTTTTGATAGCACTCACGCCCATAACGCGATCGTGATACTTGGGCGAATTTTTGTGAAGTAAGCATCAGCAAGCAAGCAGTTAGCATCTCTCTATTTACACATAATTATACTAGCTAGTTATGATTTGAAAACTGACCTAGCTTTCTTAGTCTTCGTGAAAATGCATCCATAAGTTGATGGTGTCCGAGTATCGGTGGCTTACTCTACATGCTTAGTGTGTGGAGAATGTCCCTACCGTCTCCAATTCGACTGTTCAACCACCATCATCAGGCTTGTGTCTGTTGCACTGCATGTCCACGATTTTCGGGTTTGTGTGTGTTGAACGTCGACTCTTTGGTCGAGCCTTTGTTCTAGGTCACCACACAGCACTGTGCTTCTGCAACTTTCCTAAATGTTACACCGACACCAGGATGCATACATTTATGCATTACGGGCAGGTAATTGTGTTCCTAACTGTGACACATAACCTATTTCTGAGATGTGACGCAAAGCCTCGCGCTAAGGTGCTTGGCAATAATAAACCTGAAACCTTTCTCTGTTCAGAGTTAGCCCATAACATAAGTTTGCCTTACACAGTAATTGTGTAAGTAATGACCTTGTGTGAGGTGAACTCGAAGAAACTTTTATTGTGTCCAGAGCATGACCCCCTCTACTATCTGGTTTATGAGCGTGCACCTATGGTGAAGGATAGTCTGGAGCCTCATCTCTGGGGCTACAGACCTCGCATCACACTGGAACATCTCACCAGATACTTGCAGCAGCAGAAGAAGTTTCCTATTCTGGAAGAGTTCCTCAAGAATGTACGACCAAATGGTTTCCGTAATCCCCAGTAGTTTACCATTATGGCAAATATTACTACAGGAGCCAGTGCTACAAGCAACTCAGTATATTCCTGATATTGTAAGACTGCAGAAACAACTGTTTGATGAATTACACCACCGCATCAACCACAAGGTTGCACATACTGTGTCGATACACGACTTCATTTTGAGACAACACACTAGTATGTCAGTCTTCTTCAAAGCCGTTGATGTTACTACACTGCATTTTTTCAGAGAGTGTACAGAGTCAGTATCTGGAAATGGTATCCAGTGTACAAAACGCCTGGGCTCTTGTCCGAGACCAATTGAAGGATCATGGTGACTGAACGCTCTGCCAATTATGAAATAATACACAATTATCTCTCTGCAGGGCACTTGAAAGTTGATGAGAAGTACCTTCAGGAGCATCTGGGGCTCGATACAACCCTTGAGTATTTCATTCCTACTACCACTGGTCCAGGGGCGTGCACATTCTCACTGCTTCATTATCTCTGCTATGTTCACAACAACTACATTGACTGGTGTCGAGCCAAGAGCAACACCAGGTAAACACAAAATCAGAAGCCTCATTCTTTACTAGCACATTCTTTACTATGATTGCAGGTCATGGCGAGAGCACAAGATACAGCTGGCCCACATCCACAAGTGCCACCTCCTGGACTACCAGAGCCAGCTCCAGTCCATCCTTCTCTCCCACTGCCACTACTCCCTTCGTGTGGGCCAGAGTCAAGAGGTCTCTATGACCTCCCAGCTCTGGAGAAATGTATCCTGGACCGCTTTGTCCATGGGAAACCTACTATTCTGGTCGATATCCCTCATGTCAACTACCAGGAGGACATCTACACTGCATCAGCATTTGCTGCTGTGAGGAAGAACACGGCACCACAGGTAAAGCTAATGTAGTTCCCAGAAATATTGTCTCTGTTTTGATATTCCACACTGGCTATTTAAATGTAGAGGAAGCTGCAGCAGAGAGTGCAGCTAGACATCTTACGGGAGTTGAGATCTCCTGACAAGCTGCGAAAGTCTCTAGATGTTGTGGAGATAGTGATCGGTTTCCTCACATCAGGAGGAGGGAAACCAAAGACTAGGCTACTCTCTTACCTCAGGAAATTAAAGATGGAGAAAAGGTCCTTCAGTGAGAAAGTAAGAAATTGTGTACTTAAATGTTAAAAGTGGCAACTATATAATTATTTACTGCAGGCCAAGCAACACTGTAATTTGGAGCATATTCTGTCCCTGTGGTCCACTTTGTCAGTTGGCTTAGCACGAACTATCACACTCAGTGGCCAGGTATGATGGAAATTTGCAAAAAAGATTATAAAACAAGCAACTGTAATCTCTTAGGAGCCATTCCATACTTTGAACTACGAGTTGCTAGTGCCACTGTCACCAGCCCAGTGCCAACATCTGGACAGAGCTCTTCCCAAGGTTGACCTGTCAGCTCTGCTGGGAACACTGTATGAGTTCATTGAGACCTTCATCAGACACATTGACTTAAACAACAAGGAGTGGGGGTAAGGACTAGTACATTCATTAAAATCACACACAATTGTTGCAAGGAGAAAGCAGGACAGGTCTTGATACTTTTACCCATATTAACCCACATATTAACCCAAATATTAACCTTTTCTCATCAGGGTGCACATGGGATAAGTTAGTGGCGAGTTGGAGCGAGCTAACTTAATCCGAACGGCACATTTTTGCTATATTATGATTTATATATGCCTGTACGTCGTCAAACTGTGCATGCATTCGGATTACGCGCTTCTTTTAATCCAAAAAGCTGCACCATCTAGCCAGTGAGAGAACTCTCCTACTAGTATTAAGCTAGTGCCTTAGGCAATGGTTGCCAATCTGGATTATATGAAGTGCATATGTACATCTAGCATATGCTTTGTGTAGGTTTCTTACTCACAGTAGTGAATTTGTGTAAATGTGTAAGTACTGGCACGGATTGCTTATTTCACCGGGTTACCTCTGATTAATTAATCCACGCATCTCTCTTCTGCTCTTACCCCTGGTAGCTAGACTGAAAGGATGGTAAGAGTCATCCAAGTCAGAAAGAGAGGAAGAAAGGTGAAAAGGTATAAAGGACTACCAGTGGGACCCACAACCTTTTGCTTAAGTGCACTACCACTGTGATATGGGAGAGCTACAGATGGTAGGCAATGGATATAAGCTCTGAGTCTTCAGGGAACTACACACTCTTGAGTGTCTGGTTCAGGTCTTGCCACTTCTGTTTCTTTCCCGTCTCTTCTGGAAAACGACCGAACAGTGCCCTAGAGAGAAGTTTGACTGCCTTAGTCCTCTTGTTGTACCGGTTCTTGTAGCTTTTCTGGGTCTCCCGTTGCTGGTTTTACAGCAAGCTCTTGACAATGAAAGCATGAGCTCTTCTCTGTAGCTTCAAAGATAAGTAGGGTCAAGTTGGTCTGACGGTAGTCAAGATGCTTCCACTGGTGATTTTAGTTCGATCCCAAACCAGAGGAATTAAGGTTAATGTTCATTCATGCAGAGTGTTCCGATATGCCCACAAGACTTGCTGTAGAGACTTATCCCACCTGCCATGGAACTTGGCAACATGTTTCCACAACATTGTGTTTAGGTTACGGTTTAGGCGCTTCACCATCCCATCATATGGAGGATGGTATGATGTGGAGTTGAGGTTTTTTCTTTCACACACATCCTTCGTGGGCCAGGAAATTTGGTCTACGATCAGAAAGTAGGATAACTGTAACCCTGAGCAGGAGAATGATCTCTTCAGCAAACAGTTGAGTAAACCTGATAGCTTTCTATTCAGGTGCCAGAAAGATTAACGGCCACTTGGTCTGGAAGTCGAAAACGATAATATATCGCTTACCTTGCTTTGTAACTTGTAGCTCCATGACTTCCACTCCTATTATTAGGAACGGTCATTGCACTTAAAAGGATGGAGAGGTGGTCTGTGGTGTTATGGGATCTCAGTATATAGGCTTCCGGGAGAGCATTTCCGCTCATTTGTTCTCTCTCCCTGGTCTGTAGATGATCCCAACCTACTTCCATAGATTGTAACCACCACTGAGCATGTTTGCCACTCGGACTTGGGTTGGCTAGAAGGGCAGAGTAATCGGCGACGCCTTGAACACATCCCGTAGAGATATGCACTATAGTGCTTGATGGCCCACACTACTGCCCAGTGTCCCCAGTCCAGGTCTGTCATGGCATAGTTCTTCTCTGACAATGATAGCGCATGACTACTGAACGACAATGGGTAAAGTAACTGATCCCCCAGCCTCTGTGACACTGCGGCTCCCAGGCCTTGATAGTTTGCGTCTATCTCGAGGACAAACCCTAGGCTACAAATGAAAATGGGTGACTCCACAAGCTTCTTTTTTCAGTGTGTCCCTCCATTTTTTTTATCCAGTTCAAATCTATGTCTTTCTTTGTGAGTTTGTGTAGAGACTCTGCTACCTTAGATCTTAGGAAATGTCTACTGTATGACATGAGGCCAACAAAGTGGCAATGTTGTGCGACGGACATTGGTCTGCCCGCAGTAAGCCGAGGAATGGCTTACGGTCTGTAACAAGCTCAAATGGACTTTTGGATGCGGAATATTTGTGCGACACCATCTTTCTCTATCTGTTATTCCATTTACTGGATGCACACACTCTTCTTCAGGACAACCACTATTTAAGCCTCCCATTTAGCAACAATACTGGCTCAGGTTTTCTCTGCGTTTGGAATCGCTCCAACTCCTGGTAGATTCCCCTCCAGTGTAATTGAATTTGTGGCCAACCAATCTCTACCGAGAAGGGAGGGCCTGGTACCAGCCACTATCATTAATGCATCTGACATCAAGACCGGGCATGTACTTTAGGTTTACATGAGTACAACCCACCACTACATAAGTTTTCGCCTTGCTTCTCTGGCAACAAAGTGTTCCACAACACCTTGTATTAGGCACCAACAAAAATCAGAAGAAGTCCTCTGATCAATTTCTCCGCATATCTCGCTCCCTAGATTGGAAATGAGCCTACATCATAACAGTGACAAATGGCGTACACAGTAATAATAATACTCAGGTGGCTGCCATAGCACTAGGGCCATAGACCATGCACCCAGAGCAATGGGCGGAACCGTTAACAAACGAACATACACCATATGAACATGAGGTGTCTGTCTCACCTCCCAGACACCTCAACTCACCCCTTCCACC